ACACCACACTGTTCTCCCTGGCGAAGAAGTCCGAGGTGACTTCTACGCTGATCCGGTGGTTACTTACCACTGCGAACGCTCGTGGTCGTCATGTCAGGTGTCTTCACTCCGACCGCGGGGGTGAGTTTCGCTCCGACGTTCTTGCTGGATTCTGTCGCGAGCAGGGCATCCGTCAGTCCTGGACGCTTCCAGAGTCCCCACAACAGAATGGGGTTGCTGAGCGCCGCATGGGCTTAGTCATAGAGATCGCCCGTACCTCCATGACCCACACCCGTGCCCCCCATTTTTTGTGGCCCTACGCGGTTTGGTACGCTGCTCACCAGCTGAACCTCTGGCCACGTGTCTCTCGGCCAGAGGTTTCACCGACCAGTCTTTGGACCGGGTCTTCTGGTGTTGCGTCGCGTTTTCGTGTCTGGGGCTGCTTGGCGCTTGTTCGCGACACCTCCGCGGACAAGCTCTCTCCTTGCACCCTTCTCTGTGTCTTTCTTGGTTTCCAAGAGGACTCATCCGATTTCACCCTTTACCACCCTCCCCTTCACCGGTTCTTTGACTCCCGCGACGTCCGTTTTGACGAGTCCGACCCCTACTACGTCTGGTATCCCTGTCGAGGTCTCCCGGTTCCTCCTCCCCCTCTCTTCCTGACTTCCGCTCCCCCTCCTGCTCCCCCGGTACAGCCTCCCCCCCTGGTCCAGCCCCGTCAGGTGTGTCAAACGCTACCCATCCCCCCTTGGTAGCCCCTCTGGTGCAGCCTCGTTCCCCCCAGTCCTCCTCACAGCCTACTGCAGACCCTGCGGGAGCCGGTGTTCGTGGCGAGGACCCTGGAGGTGCTAGCTCTAGAGGAGTTGGAGTTGGAGCTGAGAGCGTACCTGCACGAGGTCCTAATTTTGGGGTTGATGGAGTTGGAGCTAAGCCCGTGACTGTAGGAGACTCTAGTCTTCGAAGAGCTTGTGTTGGTCGAGCTGTCCCTGGAGGTGCTACGACTGGCGGTGCGGGTAAGCCCTCTGCTGGACCCGGAGAGCCTGGGACTGACCTTTTTACTTCTGGTGGTGCTGGCTCTGGGGGTGGTGCGGCTGGTGCCTTGGAGGGTAGTCCTGGGGCTGCCCCTGCCCCGGACACTACTCCGCGCCCGCACCCCTACCCGACCCGGCACCAGGCCCGTCTTCGCCGTGCACGTGAGGAGCAACTGGAGTTGGAGAGAGAGAGCCTCGAGTTGGAGCGGCAGGAGCTAGAGGAGCAGCAGCAGCAGCAGCAGCAGCAGCTGGAGGAGCAGCAGCGCCAGCAGCAGCAACATCAGCAGCAGCAGCAGCAGCCGCAGCTGGAGGAGCAGCCGCAGCAGCAGCCACTGCCGGAGGAGCAGCACCCGCAACCGCAGCAAGAGCAGCAGCTGCCGCCACCTCCACCTCTTGTCTCTGGTCTTCGGACCCTCGGTCTCCCCTCTCCCTCTCCTCGCTCCTTCCCTTCTCCTCCTGTGTTCGGTCCCACGCTTCCTCCTCCTAACCCCACACCAGCTGTTTTCCCCCGTTCTCAGCCTCCGTTGTCCCCTCCTCTTTCTCACGCTTGGGCCTCTCGTTGCTCTCCTCGTGCTCGTCCCTCGTCCCCTGTTCCCATCACTGACCTTCGTACTGCCCTGTTTCGTCCTAGCTCCCCTCGTCCGTCTCCGTCTGTGCTTCCTTCTCCTCCTGAGTCGGCCCTCACTGCTTCCCTCTCTACTCCTGTCACTGACTACTACCGCACGTACCGTCCTGTTCTCTCTTGTGTTCTCGCCTCTCTTGTTACCGACCCTCGTGCCTCTCTGTCCTCTGTCTCCATCCTTACTACCATAGTCATTGAGTTCGCCACTACTCGCCGCCTTGACTAAGCCAGTCTTGTGGCTGCTCCTCCTACCAGTCCTCTGGCCGTCGGGGGTGAGTCTGCCCTTGGCTGTGACGCCCTAGAGGACAGGCAGTTTGAGCTAGAGTTCCTAGCAGCCGCTTCCCCTCATCTCTGTGCCATGCTGCTCGCCCTTGAGGGAGACCCCGACGCCCTTGACATACCGACTCCTCGCACTTACGTTGAGGCAGTGTCAGGGCCTTGGGCCTCTTAGTGGAGAGCTGCCATGGACGCAAAGATGGCCTCCTACAGATCCACAGGCACCTACGTCGACGAGGTTCCCCCTCCTGGGGCGAACGTAGTCGATGGCATGTGGATCTTCAGGGTGAAGCGGCCACCGGGATCTCCTCTGGTCTTGAAGACGCGCTATGTGGCTAGAGATTTGAGTTAGTCAGCGCGAGGGAGTTGACTTCTTTCAGACCTTCGCGCCTACCCCGAAGATGACCACTCTTCGGGTGTTACTGCACGTAGCAGCACAGAGAGACTACGAGTTACACTCTCTCGACTTCTCCACTGCCTTCCTTCAGGGTAGCCTATACGAATAGGTCTGATTGCTTCGTCCCTCTGCCTTCACTGGCACTTTCCCTCCTGGGACCCAGTGGAGGCTGAGGCGACCGGTCTACGGTGTTCGTAAGGCGCCTCGTGAGTGGCACGACACCCTTCGTTCTACCCTGTCTGACCTTGGTTTCCAGCCGTCTTCTGCCGACCCGTCGCTGTTCGTTCGTCGTGGCTCCACACCGTTCTTTGTACTGGTCTACGTCGACGACCTGGTCTTCGCCACTGCTGACAGGGTTGCTTTGGCTGACGTGAAGTCCGAACTGCAGAAGAGACACACATGCACTGGGTGAATATGCTGCGCCACTACCTTGGCCTGCAAATCACCACGGTCAGAGCCGCTTGCACCATTACACTCTCACAGTCACACATGGTGCAGCAGGTCCTTCAGCGGTTCGAGCTTCAGCACTCCACAATACAGCGCACACCTCTTGCCGTTGACCACAGACTCACTGGTCCCTTTCTTGACGAGCTGTTCGAGCCTAGTGGTCCTTACGCATAGCTTGTGGTCTGCTTCATGTACCTGATGACTTGTACTCGCACGGACATCGCCTTCCCTCTCAGCATCCTTGCCCGCTTTGTTGCGCCAGGGAGACACCGTCCTGTTCACTGGACAGCTGCTGTGAGGGTGGCGAAGTACCTAGCGACGACATCAGGCGTGGGGCTGGTTCTTGGAGGGAGACAGTCTGTCGTACTTACTGGTCACTATGACTCTTCTTACGCTGACGACGCCGAGACTCACAGGTCTACTCAGGGGTACTGTTTCAGCCTGGGCTCTGGAGCTGTTTCGTGGAGGTCCACGCGTTCCTCCTCGGTCTCGACCTCTACCGATCAGGCTGAGATCTATGTTGGAGCCATGGCTGCACAGGAGCTGCGTTGGTTGACCTTCTTGCTCACTGACCTTGGTGAGCGGCCGAGCTCTGCACCGACCTTGTTCACTGACAACAAGGCGACGATTCTCCTCTGTCGAGAGCCTCGACTGGAGAGCAGAGTGAAGAACATCAACGTCATGTACTTTCTTCTACGATAGTTGCAGAGACGTGGATAGACTCGCTTCGAGTTTGTGGAGTCCGAGGCCAACATTGCAGACATCTTCACCAAGGCCCTTCCGCCTTGTGACCACCAGAGGTGTTGTGTGCAGTTAGGTCTCGTTGACACAGGTTCTCGTCTTGCTAGTCTTGTGTTCTCTGCTTGCTTTGTTTGTACGCTTTGCATATACCTCTGTGAACTCTTGGACTGGCCTTGTGGCTTTTTTTCTTGTGCTCAGACTATGTGGTGACGTTGTGATCCACCCTGAGCTTTGTTTCTTTGTGACTGGTCTTGTGACCGTACGGTTTTGGTTTTGCTTGACACCCCTCACTTAGGCTATGGGGGTGTGTCAAATGTTGTAGCCTTTAGTGATGTGTGCCACATGGGGTATAGCAGTTAGGGTTAGATTTATGTACCCCAACCAACCATAGTCAATGCATCATTTCGTTCTTGACACAAGTCGACTGTACATCGAGAATCTTCTTTAAGGCGTCAAACAGACAAGTGAAGCAGGGAGGGAGTTGTAACTTGTCACACGAGTGGATGTGGATGTCGACTAACATCCGTTGATGTTGACGAATTCACCCATGCATGTCTGACGTCAGAGAATTGACGGCTGAAATCCGTCAACATCCCTCGACTTTCGTCCATCCTCCCCCTCAAGGCGATCTCTCAGGACGCGTCACCTCTAGCGGATAGATCCCGCGTGGGATCGATATTGGGAATCTACAGTTGAGCTGTAGCGTCGTCAGGAAAGCATTACTCAATCTCGTTGATATTGGCGACGCTACAGTAATCTTACCTCTACGATCTTGTCACCTCCAACTTTGATGATCGGTGTGTCGTCGTGGGCACACCGATATGGAGATCGTGGGTGTGATGTTGGATCTCACGCCAAATATGTCACGATGTCTCTGAACTTGTCACCCAAAGATTCGATGTTGAACCCAGGATTCGATGTTGGAACCGGCTATCACCGCATTCGCACTGAAGTGACATTCACAGCAACCACTCCATTCATTATTCGCCTCAAGCAGGTCAAGAGTGCAATCACCCCGACCTACCAATTTCGACAAGGCAGGTTCAAAGCCAGCCTGCCAAAGCCGAAGCAACAAACATAGCATGTGGGATGTGGTAAGCTGTTTTTGGTAGGATTGAGATATGCCTAAGGTGCCAAGAGAACTTTTGAGCGGGCAGGTTGCAATATTTAGGCACCTGCCCTTCAAACCACCTTAGAGAATTCCCCGAGGGTACGGTACGATTGTACCTAGGCCCTCTAGCCCGATTACGACCGTGGATGGTGCCTTTTTCATTGTATAATATAATTTCACCTGCTTATTAAAAAAAAAAAAAAAAAAAAAAAAAAACAAGAGGCGACTAAATCGTCTTAGGGTTGCGAAGCATTTTGCTTTACTACAATCATCATTTTTTAGTTTGAAATGAAAGTGAGTGTACTTCGAGCTATTTGAAATGTATTCATAAAAGTCCAACTGCAAGGTTTGAACCTTGGACCTTTTGGTTGCCCACCCTGATCTCAACCGACTAAGCTGAAATCGCTATCTCGATTTGTCAGTTTAAGGTTTTCGAAACTTTTTGACGCGACGAACTCAGCACTAGCTTAGGGTTTGTGTCGTGTTTTTTCTCTCCCCTTTCCTCTCGCCGCTGCAGCTAGCTTACTGCCACTAGTCACTCTGCTCCTACCTACCACACAAAGGTGAGGAGAACCTCAACGTTAGCTATCAACTAGTTTATATATTATTCTTTAATTTAACGTTTCTTAATCTCGTATCCCTAAAGCTAGATCGTTTTTTAAGGATTGATGTCATTTCGACTAAGCAACTAGTTTGTTCTTAACTAGTGCGTGCTTCTCACTTCTTGCTACCGTATCAACGTTTTCGCCTTGTCTTAATCTCTGAAAACTATGCTCTTCACATTTCCGTCGCCATTACTCCACATTTCATTCTCAATGCATTCAATATAAACAGATTTGCTCATTCCTTTCTTTCTTAGGCGTCCTCCTTGAGTTCGCTTCCTGACTATACGCCATCTACTCGTTGCTAGGTGAGTTGTTCATTTTTTCCAATTCTTCCTTCTTTACTTTCCTGGAAGACTTCTCTTTTTCCTCATTCGTTTTTGTATCTTACATTTCATTCCGCTCCCTTTCATTTCTCTCTGCTTGTTATATTCGTGCTTCGGTTTAGTGTCTATTCTTGCATTGATATATTGTGTTCCTCTTCCGTTCGTTTTGCATTTTTCATTCATTTTTTCTGTTTGCTTTGCCTTAGGGTTTGATCATCACTTTTTTCTCTCTCCCTTCCTCTCGCTAGTTGAGCTTACAATGCCCCGCTGATTACGCTCCACCTACCACATCAAGGTAAGATCAATGCTAACTTATTAACTAGAACTATGTTAGATGAGTAGGATCTAGACTAACATTTCTTATTCTCGTTTTCTAGTCGTTTTTAGGTGATGCAAGTTTTAAAGATTTTAGCCTTTTCATGTTTTCAAGGTTCATAAGCCTTTCGCTCGTTCCCTTTCATTTTAGTGGAGAAAAACTTTTAGCATTTTGAATATGAGGTATCTTCCCGCTCTCTGCATTTTTATTCCTCTCCCCTTCTTTCGATGATCATTCTTCTTTCCTTTGTTCTGTACTTTTCCATTCTTACCTACGTGTAGCTCTTTGGACTTTTCTTCTTACTTTTTTTTCTCTTTCTTCTTTTCTGTTTACTCCAATTCCCTGCTATTTGTGTTCAGAAGCCAGCTTGTGATATTTTTTTTTCAAAGTCGCCATCTATATCCCCTCAACTTCTATTCCCCATTTCCCCCCTTTCGTTTCCCTATTTTCTACTTTTCAGAGGCTTTGCTGTACCATTCAGGAATTGAAGGTCCTCTCTAAAGGAGGAACAATCACATTTGTGGCGATTAGGTCTAATTGTGTTGTATTGCTTGGTAGTGATCTTTTGCATCTTCTGTGTTTTTTTTTTCTTCGCAAGTTCTTTTTGCATTGGCTTGTTCCGAGCTTCTGTGCGTGCGTGTGTTCGTCTGATTGCGTGCGTATGTGTCCGTATGTGTGGCATTCATCTACCATATCATTATCCATCTGTTATTTCATTAACAATGCATGTCTGTGGTTTTTAGAAATGAGAATCAGTTCTATCATTTCCCAAAGGTTCATTGAGTTACACTCGAACGGGTACGCTCACTTGAACTGGATTTGGTAGGTTGATCTCGTTTTTAGACTTCACAGATTGTGTTGTTTCATGTGGTAGTTGATTATTCAAAAGCTAAGCTATTGACCTCCCCCCCATGCTAGGCAGGGGATGGCGGTAGCTTAGTTTTTGGGTTGTTAACTGTCACGCATTTTATCATGTGCATGTGCATCATTCATGACATATCACATGCATTATATAGCATCATTCTATGCATTATGCATTGTATAGCATCATTTATGCATTACGCATGCATCTCTTTATCATTACACAACATCATCTAACAGTAACATATAATGCAAACAGTACAGCAAATCTACACTAAACAATTGCAAAAATATCATTTGGTTTAATGCACTATGAACAGTACCGTATTCAAAACTGCTCAACATGCATACAGTATGGGAAGGGTATTATTGTAGTTGACAAATTTTATTTTCGTGATTTAATAAAATGAATAAATATGGAAAAAAATGGCAAAATCGATCGTAAAGGGTTGCTTCGCAACCCAAAAAAAAAAAAAAAAAAAAAAAAAACAACAACAACAAAAACAACAACAACAACAACAACAACAACAACAACAACAACAACAACAACAACAACAACAACAACAACAACAACAACAACAACAACAACAACAACAACAACAACAACAACAGCAGCAACAACAACAGCAACAGCAACAGCAACAGCAACAGCAACAGCAACAGCAACAGCAACAGCAACAACAACAACAGCAACAACAGCAACAACAGCAGCAACAGCAACAACAGCAGCAACAGCAGCAACAGCAGCAACAGCAGCAACAACAGCAACAGCAGCAACAACAGCAACAGCAGCAACAGCAGCAACAGCAGCAACAACAGCAACAGCAGCAACAACAGCAACAGCAGCAACAGCAGCAGCAGCAGCAACAGCAGCAACAGCAGCAACAGCAGCAACAGCAGCAACAGCAGCAACAACAACAACAACAGCAGCAACAGCAACAGCAACAGCAGCAACAGCAACAACAACAGCAGCAACAGCAACAGCAACAGCAGCAACAGCAACAGCAACAGCAGCAACAGCAACAACAACAGCAGCAACAGCAACAGCAACAGCAGCAACAGCAACAACAACAGCAACAACAGCAACAACAACAGCAACAACAGCAACAACAACAGCAACAGCAACAGCAACAACAGCAACAACAGCAGCAACAACAGCAACAGCAACAGCAACAGCAACAACAGCAGCAACAACAGCAGCAACAACAACAACAACAACAACAACAGCAACAACAACAACAACAACAGCAGCAACAACAACAACAACAACAACAACAACAACAACAACAACAACAACAACAACAACAACAACAACAACAACAACAACAACAACAACAACAACAACAACAACAACAACAACAACAACAACAACAACAACAACAACAACAACAACAACAACAACAACAACAACAACAAAAAGCAAGAGGCGACGACATCGTCTTAGGGTTGCGGAGTTTTGGGGTTGCGGAGCAACCTATTGCAATCGTTATGTACATTTTTTCATATAAAAAAAAAGAAAAAAAAAAAAGAAAAAAAAAAGAGAATTACTTCAATGACTACCTTACTATACTTCTTGTAGTACATATGTGGCTGTGTGCTCCTTCTGTTTGTTAAAATTTTGCCAAATATATTGCTGTGTATCCTGTAATGCATATATTAGCAAAATGATTTTATTTTATGAGTGCATAATGCATGAATATGATACATAGTAGAATGCATACTAGTACAGTATATGTTATTCCTGTATGTATGCCAGTACGTGATAGAAATGCGTGATAGTTACAAGACCTAAACAACTAGGCTACCGCATCCCCTACCTAGCCTAAGGGGGAAGTCAACGGCCTAGTAGTTATACAACTATCACATAAATACAACACAATTTGTGTATCCTATAAAAATGATCAGTTCCATCAAATCCAGTTCAAGTGAACACACTCACTGAGTGGGCAAATAACCTTCTCGGAAATGATATGCTAACCAGATTTTTAAGACCCACAGACATGCATTGCTTATGCAATGAATGAATGAGTATAGATGAACACACACACACACACATACACACACACACACACACACACAAACACACACACACGCACTCATACATAGAAACCCCAACTCATACCAAAACAAAGTCAAAGCAATAACAATAGAAGGTGCAAAACAAGATACAACAAATATATTAATAATAAAATTTGCGAATCACCACTGCTCTTCCCACTTCGCAGACTGAACTTGGCTTCTTGAAAGGTACAATATGATTTTCAATGTAGAAGAAATGGGAAGGCAAAGCAAGGGAGGATAGGAGAGAAATTACATTGAAAGTGAAATTGGAGCAGAAGAGAAGGCAGCACATCACTGACGCAAGAACGAACCGCCACACAGAAAGACAAATACAACACTAAATGAAAGAAATCGAAGCAAAACAGAAGGAAAAACACAATACATGACAAAGACAAAACACGAGATCACTGTCACATAAATGTCAGTAGTTGTATTCATACTGTTAGTAGAATGTGAACAAACTCACAAACAAAAAAAAAAAAAAAAAAAAAAAAAAACACGGAGTGATCAAAACCGCCAACGTAAGAAAACAACAAACAATTAAAGTGACGGAAGAAAGGTTAAAGAAAGGGAGATGACAAAAACAATGAAAGTAGGAAGAGATGAAAGGAGGAGTAAACACGAAACAAGCACGATTAAACAAGAAATACTATGACAATCAGATATAATTAGGGAACAAAGACGAAGGGAACAAATGTCGGAGATCAACAAGAGAGCAATAGACCGAGGGAGAAGGAGATAGATTAACCTAGACCTACAATTTTTCATTTCCCAACGGAACAGAAAATGGAAGGGAGAGAGGAGGCCTACGGTAAGAGACGCACGGATGAACGGTTACAAAACTATCGTAGGTATAAAGAATGAGCCGCGGCGGCCAAGGGGGAGACGACGGCGGGTGGACCCGCGACGGTCAGGGGTGAGGCGACGGCGGGTGGACCCGCGGCGGCCAGGGGGGAGGTTGGTGTTGCTGAGGCTGCTGCACTCCTTCCGTTGCAGCTGCTGCTGGACCCCTCTGCCTGCTGCTGCTGCTGCTGCTGCTGCTGCTGTACTCCACCTTCTGCTGCTGCTGCTGCCGCTGCACCCTACCGCGTGTCTGCTGCTGCTGCCGCTGCCGCTGCTGCCGCTACGGCTGGGGAGGGGGAGAGGGAGAGGGGGACGGGAGGGTGCTATTGCTGGTGCTGCTGAGTCGGCTGCTACGGCGGCTAAGGGGTGGGGGGGAGGGAGGGGGGGAGGGGGAGAGGAGGGAGGGAGGGTGCAGCTGCTGCTGCAGCTGCAACGATGACGAGGCAGCGGCGGGACGAGAGGGGGGGCGCAGTGGCGGCAGAATCTGCAGGCGGCGACTGGGTAGGCACGGCGGCAGGAGGCGTGGGCGGGGACGATGCGGTCGCAGTGGCGGGAAGGGCAGGCGGCGACGGTGAAGTCACGGCGGCGGGAACTACAGGCGGCGACGAGGAAGTTGCGGCGGCTGGGTGGGCAGGCGATGATGCGCAGTTGCGGCGGCAGGACGGGCAGGCGGCGAGGGGTCAGTCGCGGCGGCAGAAGCCGCGGGCAGCGGGGGCGCAGTCGCGTTTGGCGGGAACTGCGGGGCGACGATGGTGCAGTTGCGGCGTCGGGAACCGCAGGCGGCGATGACGTAGTCGCGGCGGCGGGATGGGCAGGCGGCGACGCGCAGTCGCGGCGGCGGAATTGCAGGCGTTGACGACGCAGTTGCGACGGCGGGATGGGCAGGCGGTGACGCGCAGTCGCGGCGGCGGGTACCGCAGGCGGCGACTAGGCAGTCACGGCGACGGGATAGGCAGGCGGCGACACGCAGTCGCGGCGGCGGTTACCGCAGGCGGTGACACACAGTCGCGGCGGCGGGCTGGGCAGGGACGACGAGGCAGTTGCAGCGGCGGGATGGGCATGCGGCGACACAAAGTCGCGGCGGCAGTTACCGCAGGTGGCGACACGCAGCTGCGGCGGCGGGAAGGGCAGGCGACGACGCGCAGTCGTGGCGGCGGGAAGGGCAGGCGACGACGCGCAGTCGCGGCGGCGGGTACCGCAGGCAGCGACGAGGCAGTCGTGGCGGCGGGATGAGCAGGCGGCGACACGTAGTCGCGGCGGCGGTTACCGTAGGCGGTGACGGGCAGTCGCGGCAGCAGTTTGGGCAAGCGACGACAAGGCAGTCGCGGCGGCGGGATGGGCAGGCGGCGACATGAAGTCGCGGCGGCGGTTACCACAGGTGGCGACACACAGTCGCGGCGGCGGGAAGGGCAGGCAGCGACGAGGCGGTCGCGGCGGCGGAATTCGCGGGCGAGGATGGCGCAATCGCGGCGGGGAGAGAGGGTGGCGGCGACTACTAAGGGCGCGGCGGGAAGAGTGTGAATAGAGGCTGGTAGAAACACGGTAGCAAAGGGTTTGTAACTGTAGGGTGGGCCTTATGGAGGGGAATAAACTGAAGGGGGGGAGAGGTAAGGCCAAGGAAAATTTCAGCTCTAAACCATGTGAAAGCTTAAAGTTGCGATGATATGATTAAAGGAGGAACAAGCATACATAGGTTGGATGAGAGGCTTGAAAGGGAAAGTTTGGGTTGGCCATAGGTTGAGTTGGCCTCACTTTGGTAAGTGAGGTGACCTAAGGCCAAGTGGGTTGAGTTGGCCAAACTTTGTGGGAAGTGAGGTAACCCAAGGCCCACTTGGGTTGGGTTGGCCTCACTTCGGGAAGTGAGGCAACCTAAGGCCAAGTGGGTTGCATTTGGGGGCTCCACCACAATTGGGTGGATTGGCACCCCACAATGCAAGACTACAACCAAAGTTGGGTGTAGTTCCAACCCAACTGTACACCATAATTGGTGTACAGTCACAAGTGCTAGCATGCTAGAACATATCATTCCAATAGAAAATTTGTTTGTTTTTTTTTTTTATGATAATTGGTAAAAGTACACCAAAGAACAAGCGTACAATGCCAAGAACGGTCGTAACCGTGCATGAGGAGTAGAGGCAAGCCCCTACCCCAAACGAGACCCACTAGGGCGCGTTGGATCCCGCCCTCCGAGATGACCACAGTGCCCCAAACACACTTGTCCACTTCAAACCGATGCCATCCTGTGTAATCCTATGAAGCATGTTCTGCTCCTTCACAAAGTGCAGCGCAACTGTTTGCGCCGCGCCGAGCCCAACTTCCGAGTATAGATCCTTGCATGTTGCCTGAAAGAGAATGCAGTTTTCCATGAAGGAGCAAGTGCCAGTCCTTGCAAGACGACGATGCGTGGCACTTGCTCCTGGCACCATGCAGCGAAGTAGACGCCTGGAAGTTACGCGCCATGGCCATGAAGCTCCCACCCAATAGGTCCCATTGAACCTCGAACAACTCTTTCGGCAGCCCATCGCTCCCCGGGGATTTTCTTTTCGCCATTGCTGCGAATGCTCTCTTAACCTCCTCCTCTCTCCAGTCGGCTTCCAGGAAAGTCGCCAGCCCCTCCTGCAGGCACCGGTTCGGGATAACCTTCCATTTTGTAAAATCCGTCCTGCGATCCCGCCCGAAGATATTCGTGAAGAAAACCAATGCAGCCTCCAGCACCGGTCTAGGCCCGCCAACCGTGGTCCCGCCAACATTCAGCTCCGCAATCTGCGTTCTCGCCTTCCGCGCGCGGACCTTAGCGGAGAGATGCTTGGAGGCAATTTCCCCGGTAAGTTCCGCCATAAGACTAGCTTGCAGGTGCAGCCTGTCCCACCTTGCTGCATGATACGCTTTAAGTTGCTGCTCCCTTTCCTCCAGAAGCGCCTTCTTTCTTCCGCAACCAAGATCCCCCATTAACCCTTGTTTCAAAACTTCGACCGCCTTGTGCAGATGAGCCAACGTGGCCTTCACCCGCTTTCCTTCCTCCCTCGCGTATGACCTGAGTCCAGCACTCAGCCGCGACAGCAGAAGCTCAAAACTGCTGCCGTCATTGACCGGTGTAGCTGAAGCTGGACAAGGTTTCATCGCTGGAGGAGGTGCCAGGCAGCATTGGGGAACTCCGGCAACTCACAGCCCTGGAGATCTACGTGCCCATGCTGGCTTCATGCGGAGATAACTCATACAGCGTGAGCTAGACTACGGGGAAGGCACGGGGTAATTTCTGCGTTCCTTAGTCGTTTGCTTGTGTTCACTCTACTTGCGCATTCATGGGGAAATTCGGCAAGAGCTCCACTAGCAAAGGTTCACAATGATAGTTCAGAATGATAGCAACAACATTGGCAAGAGAGACTACATCAGAGCTAGCAAGCATGCAGGTCGACCTCTAGCGAAGCATGGTCGACCGCGTTCCAGCGCTGCAGAGCAGGTCGGCGCCTCCCGGGTTGGCCTTGCCGGGTCAACCACCTGAACTCGGCGCCCTCCTTCTTGGCGGCCCCCTGCTCGGCAGCCTCCTGCTTGGCGCCCTCTACTGGTCGACTTCGCCAAGTCGACCACCCACCAAAGTCGGCGCCTACTAAAGTCGGCGCCCCTTCCCAGGTCGACGTCTCCCCTCGTCGACCACTGGGTCGAAGTCGACCGTCGTTGCCCCAACGTCGGCTGCGTCGTAGTGGCCTCGTGCAGGTCGACCTCGCCTGTCGACCTGCACGCCTAAGTCGGCGTTGCCCACTGCAGTTGGTCGGCCGTGCTCCCCACACACCCGACTACGAAGTCGGCTCCGCCCAAGCGAGGACGAGGCCAACACACAACTCTCGTTGACACTTTACTCCCTGATACCATCGGTGCTCTATCGTGACTGCGCACACTCAATTTGTCTGGTTGCGAAGGCCTGCAGCAACTGCCAGCTTCCCTTACGCTCCTCGTCTGCCTTCATGATTTGGATGCATCTTCCACCGCTCCGAGCTTCCTGTTGGGTTTGCGCACCTCACCAGGCTGAGAAGGCTTTCCTTGAAAAACTTTCGAAAACTTTAGGGTTTCACAGAGGGTTTCACACACCTGCCAGCGTTGCGGCATCTGGTGGTAAGTGGTTGCCAGCAGGAAATCCAAGGCTGGCTGAGAACGCATGGCCAAGGGAAACTCAATTGGACGGTTGTGACGTTGTAATGGCATGGTGTGGTGTGTCCTTCTTTTCATGCTGCTTGCAAGCTTGTCAGAGGTCCACTGGAGATCCCTGATTGATCCTAGGGAAGGGTTACAGGCACGTCGGCCTGGGAGGTTATGGGCGCACTCACCCGCTACACAAACAAGCCCTTTTATCCCAGTGGTTAGCGGTTGAGATTCTGACAAAGCTTTGTTGGCTCTGTTTTGTGGGCTATTGACCTGAATCTGCTGTATTGTGGCTCAATGATGCTTTATTGTTGAGAATTCTAGGCAGGAATGGATGCACTGAATGAGAGTTGGGTACAAGTATCTAACCCTAAAGGGGTTGTACCCCATATTGGCTACCCCACTACAGCCTACACAAATATAGCATGCATATAGTTTGACACACCCCCATAGGCAAAGTGGGGGAGAACAAGTGGTCACAAGACCAGTCAAGAAAAGCAAAGCAAGCTCAGGGTGGATCACAACGTCACCACACACTGAGCACAAGCAAAGGGCCACAAGGCCAGTTCACATGCAGAGACATATATGCAACAACAACAGTACAGTGATCACTACCTAGCAAGAGCAAACATGCAGGCATATATATATAGAGATCACAGTACAAGCAGAGTCTACAGCAAGTGTGGAAACGTAGGCACAAGACCCGACAAAGTACAAAAGCGCTGATGGTCACCAGACGGAAGTGCCTTGGTGAATATATCAGCAGTGTTGGCCTGAGTGGCCAAAAGAGCAAGACGAAGCTGACCACGCTGCTGCAACTCTCGAGCCAGAAAGTAACGCAGAGCGATGTGCTTCGTTCTGTGCTCCAGACTGTGCTCCTGACACAAGGCAATGGCGGCCTTGTTGTCGACGTACAGAACTGGAGGAGAACGAGGCCACTCTCCCAAGTCAGTCAGCAGGTAGGTAAGCCAGCGTAACTTCTGTGCAGCCATGGCTGTGGCGTAGATCTCAGCCTCACAACTGGAGCTGAGAACAGAAGACGAGCGAGTAGACCGCCAAGAAACAGAGCCAGAGCCAAGGCTGAAGGTGTAACCCTGTGACGACCGCTGCGTAGCCAGGTCGTCAACCCAAGAAGCGTCTGAGTGCCCAGTGAGGACAACTGGACTCCGCCCTCCAAGCACGAGCCCCATGCCCGATGTACTGCACAAGTAGCGCAGTACCCTCTTTGCAGCATCCATGTGCACCTTTCGGTGCCGACCAGGAGCCACGTAGCAAGCCAGAAGGCCAAGAGGGTACGCAAGGTCAGGACGAGTGCAGGTCATCAGGTACATGAGGCAGCCCACTAGCTCTGGGTAAGGACCACTCGGCTCTACGAACTCGTCCGAAGGTGGAGCTGAGAGCGAGTGACCTGTAGCTAGAGGAGTGGACTGTGGCGAGGACCAGGTGAAGCCGAAGCGCTAAAGGACCTGCTGCACCATGTGTGACTGAGTCAGTGTGATGGTGCGGCGTGCTCTGTCCCGAGTGATCTGCAAGCCAAGGTAACTGCGCAGCTCACCCAAGTCTGTGCACGTGTGTCTCTTCTGCAGCTCCGACTTCACCAGGGCGAGAGCCTCAGTGTCAGCAGTGGCAAAGACCAAGTTGTCGACGTACACGAGGATGTAGAACGGCGGCAGCGAGGTGTCGGTGCGCAGAAACAGCGACGGGTCAGCTGTCGAAGAAGCAAACCCCCGCAAGCGTCGTCCTCAGTGTGTCGTGCCACTCGCGCGGCGCCTGGCGGAGACCGTAGACTGGCCGCCGGAGGCTCCACTGGGTACCAGGAGGGAACGTCCCAGTGAAGCCAGGTGGGCGGCGCAGCCAGATCTCCTCGTGCAGGCTGCCCTGTAAGAAGGCTGTGCTAAAGTCCAGAGAGTGAAGCTCACGCTGAGCGGCAACGTGCAGCAGCACCCGAAGAGTAGTCATCTTCGGGGTGGGGAGAAGGTCTGGAAGAAGTCAACTCCCTCTCGCTGACTAAAGCCTCGTGCAACGTAACGAGCCTTGAAGACAGGCGGAGAACCTGGCGGCCGCTTCACCCTGAAAATCCACATGCCATCGACGATGTTCGCCCCAGGAGGGGAAACCTCGTCGACGTAAGTGCCTGTGGACTTCCAGGATGCCATCTCTGCGTCCATGGCTATCTGCCACTGAGAGGAGTAGGGACCCGCGATCGCCTCAGCGTAAGAGCGCGGGGTAGGGATGTCTGGTGCATCCGGGTCTCCCTCAGGGGCAAGCAGCATGGCCACGAGATGAGGCGCAGCGGCCGCAAGACACTCAAGGTCCTCCTGTCTATCCTCAAGGACGTCCGTGCCAAGAGCACACTCACCCCCGACGGACGGAGGACAGACAGACACAGACTCAGCAACAAGACTAGCAGCGTAGTCTAGACGACAGGCAGCAGCAAAGTCAACCAGCTCAGCGACCAAGGCAGACGCAGCAGCAGACTCAAACGACGGGTCGGTGACAACAGTGGCTAACACACGCACGCGTGACAGTAGGGTGCTCAGTACGAAACCGGTCAGACTCAGGGTCCGGAACGTCAGGCAGAGAGGACTCAGGAGGAGACGGCAGAGGAACACGCTGCGGAGCAGAGGACGGACGACGGACAACGAGGTGCGCGCCGGGGACAGCCGGCGAACGCGGACGAGCAACACGACGACTGGTACGACCAGAACGAACAGGCGAGACAGGACGCGACGCAGGCTCACGACGCTCAGCAAGGCCCTGTGACTGCTCGGTGTAAGGAGAAGGAGCAGGCAGCGGTGAGCCAGGCTGTAACGAAAGACCAGTAGAAGACGGGAGGCTAAGAACCTGGCGAAGCACAGAGTCAGGCGATGGCGGAGACGACAGAGACGGCGGAGCGAAGAACAGTCTCGGCTGCGCCGTGCCACCAATACCAGCAGCGCCAGCGCCTCCAGCAGCTCCAGAACCTCCAGCGCCAGCTCCTCCAGGACCAGCTCCACCAGCAGCAGCACCCCCAAAACCGGCACCTCCAGTCCCAGGGTCCCCAGCTGCAGCAGGGTCTCCAGCAGTAGCACCCCCAGAACCGGCACCTCCAGCCCCAGGGTCTCCAGCCTCAGTGTCTCCAGCAGCAGCACCCCCAGACACAGCATTTCCAGTCCCAGCAGCTCCAGTACTGCCAGTACGAGCACCTCCGGGACCAGCAACTCCAACACCTCCAGTAGACAAAGTACCAGCACCACTCCCAGCTCCAGTGGCGTCAGCAGAAGCACCTCCAGCGGCAGAGCCCCGAGCTCCAGCAGCGCGAACCTGACGGCGACCGTACCAGTCGTGCAGCTGCTGTGAGGTGAGAGGCGTACGCGGACGAAGGCGGCCACTCCAAGGAGACCGCGCACCAGCAGTCTCATTACTCTCAGGCGCCGCACCCCCAGACTCAGCACCCCCAGGCTCCTCACGCACAGGCTCAGCACCCCCAGACTCAGCACTCCCAGGCTCCTCACGCTCAGGCTCTACACCCCCAAGCTCCGCACCCCTAGGGACAGCGCCGGCTCCAGTGCCTCCAACACCAGCGCCTCCCGCAGCAGGGCCCCCAGCTCCAGCAGCTCGACCCTGACGGCTAACGTACCACTCACGCAGCTGCTGTGGGGAGAGAGGGAGACGACGACGAGAGTGCAGCGGCGAGGCACCAGCGGAGCGACTACGGAGACGGCCGCTCCAGGGAGACTGCTCACCAGACGCCTCAGCACCCCCAGGCGCAGCACCCCCAGACTCAGTACCCCCAGGCTCAGCACCTCCAGACTCCGCACCTCCAGGCTCAGCACCCCCAGGCTCCGCACCCTCAGGCTCAGTACCCTCAGGCTCAGCACTTCCAGAAGGAGCACCCCGAGCAGGACCACTCTCAGCAAGACCTGAGTCACCAGTGACCTCAACCGGCGCAGTCAAGGGAGGAGGGTCTACCTGAGACACACCTGAAGGAGCAGGACCGGGAGCGGGGAGGGGGTCTGGGACCTCAGCACCTGGAGCGAGGAAGAGCGGCGGGGGGGGGAGAGGGGCAGTGCGGTAGGGGAAGAGACGGTAAAAGGGAACCGACTCGTCGAACGTGACGTCCTGAGAGGGGAAGACACAGCGCGAGGTGGGGTGGTAAAACTGCCAACCAGGCGCGTCAGGGACAAAGCCAAGGAAGACACAGGGAACAGCGCGGGCGGAGAGCTTGTCCGCGGTGGTATCGCGGACAAAGGCACGAGATCCCCAGACTCGGAACACCGACGCATCGCCAACTTCCCCCGTCCACAGCAGTGTCGGCGAGGTCTCCGGCAAGGAGACACGTGGCCAGAGGTTGAGCTGATGGGCGGCGTAGCGGACCGCAAACGGCCACAGAAAATGGGGGGCAGCCGCATGGACCATGGAGAGGCCGGAAGCGTGAACGTCTGGCGAATGCCCTCCCCACGACAAAAGCTCTGCAGAAGGTCGGAGGAAAACTCCCCACCTCTGTCAGAGTGCAGACGCAGGACGGGAAACTCCGTCCCAAACCGCTCGCGGAGCTGGAGACGGGCAGCGCGGATCCAAGGGATCAAAACATCAGGGACCTCACCCTTGGTGCGCAAGGGGAAGACCGTGGTGTAACGCGAGTAGTCGTCGACAACCAGCAGAAAGTACCGCTCGCGGCCCTGTCCAGTGACGCGGGCTGGGCCCCACACGTCCATGTGCAGGGTCTGCAGGGGAGCAGTCGTCGGGGGAAACGAGGAGGAGTGAGGAGCGGCGCGCTGCCGCCCCTCGACACAGGGAAGACAGGGAGGAGCAGGCGAGGGTGGGAGGGGAGGGAGAACCCTGGGAAGACCAGAGACAAGGACCCGGCGGTGCATGCTACGAAGGCGCTGCACCGAGGGGTGACCAAGACGGTGGTGCCAAAGGAGGGTCTGGTGCGACAAAGCGCGACACGAGCAGGGGGCCGCTAGCTGACCTGACGCAGACGCAGCGACCTGAGGGGACACAGTAGTCAGTGTGTACAGACTCGAGCCAGGCGCACGGGTAAACGTGGCCAGGTGCCGGCCCGTCCGGGAGCACGTACAGTGGGTCACGCGCTGACCTCCAGGAGTGAACTGGTCAACCCACTGGTCCTGGAGGTCAGCACCACTCACCAAGTTCGTAGAGAACGAGGGGAGGTGAAGACCTGACAGGGAGCCAGACGGGACCGCCGGACACGGCAGGACCGTGGAGGAGTGCGCAAGGACTGGACCCCCAGAGGGGTCTGCCAGGGAGACTGCAACCGGCCGACTGAGCGGCGTGAGGGTGGTGCTGTCGCGAAAGAAGGAGCGGGAAGCACCTGAGTCAAGCGTGAAGGTGTACAAGGCCTCAGCAGGCGCAGTACCAGAGAGAGCAGACTCACCAGCACCTGGAGCAGCAGCCTCACCAGCACCTAGAGCAAGAGACGCACTAGCACCTAGAGCAGCAGCCTCACCAGCACCTAGAGCAGCAGGCTCTATACCTGGGTCAGGCGGTACGCACAGGTAACAGGCACCGTCAGCACTAGTAGGCAACGCATACATGGCAGTGAGAATAACATCATAGTCAAGAGCAAAGATATCTACCCTCTGCCTAAGCAGCTCCAGCCACGTGGGGAGCTCAGCCTCGTCGCCAAACTCGGTACGCCAGGCGTCGCTCAGACGGGCGAAGCAGCGGGACTGTGTGTGACCAAGTGTCCCGCAAGCCTGACCAGCCCGAGCACCTGTGCGAATGACGTACGGGCAGCGAACGGTACTCCAAGACCCTCTACTCTGAGCGTACCACTCATGAAGCTGCTGGGGCGTAAGTGTCTCACGCGGACGCCGCTGCAGCTGCAGCTGGCCACTGCCAGACGCTCCCGACTGACCAGCTCCAAGGCGACAGCCACGACGGCTACCGCCACAACCCCAACTAGCGTACCACTCACTAAGCTGCTGGGGCGTGAGAGACTCGCGCGGACGTCGCTGGAGCTGCATCTGGCCACCGCCAGTAGCAGCAGTAGCAGCGCGGGCAGGGCAGGCACGGCAGGCAGGCAGGCAAACAGGCAGGCAGGCAGGCAGGCAGATGGCGCGGCAGCGCGCTAACAAGGCAGGCGCGTGGGAAGTGCTGTAGGGCAGGTGCTCACCAGTGGCGGGAAGGGCAGGCGCTCGCCGAGCGAGCAGGGCCGGCGCTCGGCTGGCAGCGGCAGGGTAGGCGCACGGCAGCGGCGACGGCGGGGCCGCAAAAGCGGCTGCAGAGTAGGGCCGCGTCAGCTGCAGGGCTGGGGCCACGACAGCGGCAGGGCAGGGCCACGGCAGCTGCTGCAGGGCGGGGCCGTGTCGGCGGCAGGGCGGGGCCAGGCGGGGCCGCGACAGCGACCTGGCGGGGCCGCGTCGGCGGCGTGGCGGGGCCGCGTCGGCTGCTGCAGGACGGGGCCGCGACAGCGGTCTAGCGGGCAGGCAGGGGCGGCGCGCGGGCTCTGGGGCGGCGCACGGCAAGGGCGGGGGCCGCGTGCAGGCCCTGGGGCGCCGCGACGGGCAGGCAGGGGGGGCGCGCGGGCTTTGGGGCGGCGCACGGCAAGGGCGGGGGCCGCGTGCAGGCCCTGGGGCGGCGCGACGGGCAGGCAGGGGCAGCGCGCGGGCTCTAGGGCTGCGCGACAGGCAGGTAGGAGGGGCGCGCGGGCTCTGGGGCGGCGCACGGCAAGGGCAGGGGCCGCGCGCAGGCTCTGGGGCGGCGCGATGGGAAGGCAGAAGCAGCGCGCGGGCTTTAGGGCGGCGCACGGTAGAGGCACGGGCCGCGCGCAGGCTCTGGGGCGGCGCGACGTGTCAGAATCCCAGCCACTAACCACTGGGATAAAAGGGCTTGTTTGTGTGGCGGGTGAGTGCGCCCATAACCCCCCAGGCCGCCATGCCTGTAACCCTTCCCTAGGATCAATCGGGGATCACCAGTGGACCTCTGACACCCCCCCGCACTGGGATGCCCGAGGTGCACACATTGAGATTCGAACCCGAGACCTTCGCTCTGATACCATGTCAAAATCCCAGCCACTAACCACTGGGATAGAAGGGCTTGTTTGTGTAGCGGGTGAGTGCGCCCATAACCCCCCAGGCCGCCATGCCTGTAACCCTTCCCTAGGATCAATCGGGGATCACCAGTGGACCTCTGACACGACGGGCAGGCAGGGGCAGTGCGCAGGCTCTGGGGCGGCGCACGACAAGGGCAGGGGCCGCGCACGGGCTCTAGGGCCGCTCACGGCAAGGCAAGGCAGGGCAGGGCGCGCGCGGGCAGCGCGACGCAGAACAGGGCGTGGGGCAGCACGGTAACCGCAGACGGTCACTAGCGAAGGATGGGCCCGAAAAAAAAACAAGAGGCGACGAAATCGTCTTAGGGTTGCGAAGCAACATTACACTGTTAATTTTTTATACAACTGACGTATAATGAAGGTTTAGTAATATAGTAACATAATTTTGATATTTGACAAATTACTGTTATTTATATATACACTTGAAATATATAACATATGATTATATAAACGCTTTTGTGTGATCGTTTAGGGTATAGATTCTGATTGTTAAGCACTTTTTTGTGTTATGTTATTCTTGTTCTGTTCAGATTATTTGGTTTTAGGGTGACAGTGAAATTCTGAAACAACAAAATTTCAAAACAAAACGCGACTAGTTTTGTGGCGAGGTATTGATCGTAACTAGATCTGAACTCCTGACCATGAGTGGAACTGCAACATCAATACCGTTGTGCTAAACATGCTGACACATTTCGGCATCGTATTTTACTTGGCAGGTTTTTGCGTAAAAAACGTCCCTTCCTAGGGTTTCGTGAAATGTCTTTTTCTCCATTTCTCGTCCAGCTACTCTAACTCCTCCCGTACCTCACGCTACTCTCGCCACTCAAACCAGTCACACTATAGCTCATAGTCAGGTAAGCCTTTCTCTCTCTATTCTTAACCTAATTCTAGTTGAGGGTGGTTCTTTCTACCGTTTTCTTCCTCCGTTACTTCCTCTTCTCCTTTCTCCTTAACATTCAATAGAGAACTTCCACTCGTTCCCATGCTTGACTTTCTACGTTTTCGAGTGCATCTCAATCTTTAGCGCGGTCGTTATTGTCTTTCCTTTCATTCGATGTTTAGGGTCGGAGCAATCATTGAGAAACCTTAACAGATTTCTCTTGTTTTCGTCTGTGTATGTTTCTTTGCATAAGTTATGTCGTAGCAGTATGTCGTTTCCATTCATCGTGTATGTCGTTATTCAAAGGCTGCAACCCAATATGCTACGTCCTTCTGAATTATTGTGTTCCAATTTGAATACTTCATAGGTTCTTTCGAAACCGTAGTTTAATGAACTCTGTGTATATCTCTCGTTTGTTCTCTCGTTCGTTCTCTTGTTCTCTTCTCTCTCTCTCTCTCTCTCTCTCTCTCTCTCTCTCTCTCTCTCTCTCTCTCTCTCTCTCTCTCTCTCTCGCTCTCTCTCTCGTTCTCTCTCTCTCTCTCTCTCTCTCTCTCTCTCGTTCTCTCTCTCTCGTTCTCTCTCTCTCTCTCTCTCTCTCTCTCTCTCTCTCTCTCTCTCTCTCTCTCTCTCTCTCTCTCTCTCTCTCTCTCTCTCTCTCTCTAATGGTCCGTATATTGATATGGCCGAAAGGTACACACATACAAGTTCATAAAGCATGCCTGTCACATACTAACTCATCTACAGCTCTACTAGTGGCTCCAAAACAGCAAAGCAATCCCCTAGGTGCAGCTTGTGCCCAATCCCCCCCACCGGGGGTTCTCAGCTGCTGCCGCCTCACCAAGCTTAATGAGCAATCCCACCGACTGGGCCCTCTGGAGTGCAACCGACCACCGCTGCCTGAACTGATGCAGGAACTTAGCGGCATAATAGGAGTTAGAATCGGCGTTGAAGTGGCGCCGAGCCGCCGTGTCTGCCAGGAGTTTCAGGAAGACGGGGACCTCTGCACAAGGGCAGCCATAGGTCTCTACCGCCAACGGAAAGAACCCAACCGTCTCTGGTCTCTTCGCATAGCGCTGGATCTTTTTGTCTGCCTGCTCTCGAGCCGCCCATCCCCTTCCTTTCTGCGCCTCCGGGTCCCGCGTGCTAATAGGGTCCGTCACAGTGACGTCACACACCCAAACCGCCCCACTGCTCCTGTCAGTCATGGTGAAGTCGGCTGTCTGCTCCTCGATGGGGCAGTGAGCCGCCGACTCACTGTGGACTATGAAACCCGCATCCTGAGCCATGCTGATGCATGCGTCGCGGAGCTCATTGTGAGTGTTGATGCGGTGCTTGCCAGTGCCGCAGCGTAGGAGGTGGTTTGGGAGGCGGGGGTCAGTGATTGCTGTGTGGTCCGCGCAGTCACAGTTTTTGGGAGTGGAGAAGGGCAAGCCAAGCCGGAATCTGACGGCGTTGGCAAAGTGGACTGGACCAATGCGCCGGGTCGGGGCTATTGGTATCGCCGTCAACCAGTCCCCCGTACCGTATCCCGTCAGAGAAAACATCCGCTGCGTATGGCCCGCCAGCGGGTTCAGCGGCATCTTCCTTGTCTCCTGAACCTGCACCGCGTAGCGACTGCCGTGGATTTGGAGAGCGAGGGCGTGCTGCAGCTTCACGTCCGTCCGTTCCAGTCGCTCTCGTTCCAGCAGCTCTCGTGCGTCGGAAGGCAGGGCGGTCTCGCACTCAGCAAGCCAGGAGTGGAGTGGCGTGCTCTCATCCCTCGGCAAGAGCATATGGCTGCGCGCACGTGACAGGGCAGAGTCCGGGGCCAGAGGGAGCGTCGAGAAGAACAGCGCCGCCTGCGTGAAGCTAGCAACGAAACCGTAAACACCCTCGACGAGAGGGTCAGTAATCCCCACCCCCCAAGAGAAGGCGGAAGGGACGCTTGGGCCCACACGCGCGACTGTTCGGATCCACCCGCGGGAGGCCGGATGTTGCACGAAGTGAGCAGAGTCGTCAGGAGGCCACGGCCCCACTGCGTCCACGTGTCCCGGGAGACGAGATTGAGTGGGGTCGTCCGAGTAAGGTATGCCACGCGCCGGGAGATACAGCGCGAGAGCAGCAGCGAAGCGACTTGCGGGTCCGCCTTCTCGATGAGTGGCAATGGTTGCGCCATCTCTCCCAGTTGCCCAGTCAGGAACGTGGATGCCCCGTCTGCTGTCCCAATAAAACTGCCAAGCAGTTTAACGCCGTCAAGGCAGAGCGGGACCCCGGGCGGCAGCTCAGTTGAATCACACGTGATTGCACTCCACGCAGAGCACTTATTCGGATTGTGTTTCAGGCCCAGCAATTCCAGCTTCGAAGTGAAGTGGTTGAAAGCAGCTACAGTAGCACATGGCTCCCCCACGAATGTCACGTCATCAGCATATGCCAAACAAAGCACATCAAGGTGTGCCTCGGCAGTGTCGCGTAGCGTGGGGTGAATCCCGGCCGCGAAAAGGAGAGGGCCAAGTGGATCGCCCTGGCGAACTCCCCGTTCACTACGCAGGGGTTTGCTTGCAAAATTTGAATCCAGGTGCAGTTGCGACGGGTTACCGTAGGTCAGCCGAACCAACGGGAGTAGTGGCGAGAGGCTGGGTTCCTGTAACGCAGCAGCGATAGCTTGTCGCGAAATGCTGTTGAAGGCATTCGCGATGTCAGCCTGTAGGACCAGGCTATTCGGGTGGCCGTCCACGTACGTTCGGGCGGCATGAATTATCGCTTCCGCCCCACCCGGCACTGCCACCCCGTACTGTAGGGGTAAGAAGTAATCACGTGCAGCTTCCCCCATGACCGATAGCGCCGCCTTGGCGGCCAGTCGCGTCAGGCATTCGCCGATTGCGATTGGTCGAGCCCCTCCTCCCGGTTTGGCCAAGGCTATGAGTCGAGATGCCGTAAGCAGGTCCGCCACCGGGGCTGGGAGATTTCCTCCCAAAATTGTGTTAACCACGGCGTGCAGATGGGTGCTGACAGATGCATTGGTAACTGCCGCGTCGCGTAAATGTTCAAATGTCGTGCCCGAAGGTCCGGCACCGACACCGTTCTCGCATCGCCCGAGCAGCTTCGCAAAATCCGCGTGGGAAATGCCCAGGGGCCGGGTGTCACCCGCTGGCCAGGTCAGTGGCTCGTCCACTGCGGGGGGGTGCTTCCTGCGAAGCTCGTCCAGGATTTCTGGACTTGGTGTACAGACCGGGGTTGACTCGAGCGCCAACACAGCTCGGCGCAGACTGCCACGTTTTGCCAGACCCTCGGCTCGGCTTAGTACACCCGTGACATCTGGCCGATGGCGAGGGGGCGGTGGGGCGTTGACCGCCTTTACCGCGTCCTGATAGAGCAGCGACCATTCGCCACGCTGGAAAGCTCGAAGACGGGCCTTGATTTGTGGCCAATTTGGTTGCCTCGGCGAAGCCTGGCGAAGGGTCAAACGCGGGAGGAAAAGAAGCAGTCGCCAACCCGCTTCGGAGTCAGGGTTTCGCGAGAGGTGGTGTAGAGGTGTTAGGAGTGCCAGCGAAAATAGCTGGCACAAGTGTGGCGGTAATCTTCTTGACAGTGATGGTTGGCGACTGTCGCAGAGGGCGGAAATGTCCCAGTTCGCGATGTCAGCGAACTTGTCACTCATCCCTGCCAGCTCCTCTGGCGAATAATAACGGGGCTGCTGTGGGGTTGTTCCTGACACTGGCTGGGGGGGCGCGGTCCGATGTCTGCGGGCGCGGCTCGATCTCGTGGATTGCTGGTGGGTTGGATTCCCGTCCGTTCGATCGGCATCCAATGGCCCTGCACGGTCCCTCGATCCCGCTGTGGGCAGATTGGCTGCACCAGGTCTTCGCCCCGTGGTCCCTACTCTTGTTGCCACTGCTTCGTCCCCTTCGTCATTTTCACTCTCTGGCTCCACTTCCTCTATATAGGTGGGGTCGGATCTCTCCCCAACCTCATTAGCAGCTGCCAGAGCCATTAAAGCCCGACGTCCCGCCGCTTGGTACCCGTTTTCCGGCCCTCCGCCTATTCCGCTAGCCACCTGCCTCCTCTCCTCTCGTGCTTCCCGAACTCGCGATGGTGATTGCTGGAGCTCCCGAGCCGTCGCCAGAGCGCGTTGCCGCCTGGTCGGCAGTGGTCGCCAAGCCTCAGTCTGAGGCCGGAACGGCGACCACGGCGACGAAGCCCCCAGTGCCTCCGGCTCCGAGGCCCTCGACAACATCTGCTGAAAAGCCTCATCGCCCCGAACCCGTGGCTCCCCTTGTGGCAGCTGCGGCTGGCTTGTCCGCGCCCGCTCCCGCTCGGTCTGCTGCCCCTGCTGCTGCTGATCCGCCTGTCCCAGATGCGCAGATTGTTCCCCTGTCTCCCCTTGCCGCCCCGACTGGGTCGGCTGTGAACTCCCGGTTCCCGCTCCCGTTGGGCCACCTGTCGTCGGCCTCGAGCCGCCGGCTTCTGCACCTGCCTCGTCCCCGCAGGCGGTGTCCGCCACCACTGGCGGCCCGGCACCGCTGGCTGTGCCTCCTGCTGTGGGCCCGACTGCCCTTGTTGCGCCGTCGGTGGCGCAGCAGGCACTACAGGCGCCGCAGTCTCGCCCTCCCTCGCCGGTCCGCCGTCAATCTCGCCCCCATTCTCCAGCACCTCATCAGGATCGGGAGTCCTCCCGGCGCCGGCGCAATTCTCCCCGGCGCTATCAGCAGTCGGGTCAGTGGCATGCGAACCGTGGCGGTCGCGGAGGCTGGTGGGGTCCACGCGGTCGCGGTGGTGGCGGAGGGGCGTACGATCCGCCCGTGAGAATGGCGGATCTGCAACGTGCGGTAACGACTGCGATGCGTGAAGAGAGGGCCGCTCAGACTCAAGGCAGCTCGCACGTTGCCGCCGCCTGTCCTGCTCGTCGCCAGGCGGCGCCTCCCGAGATTCCACTCCCTGCAGCACCGGTCCATACTCAAGTCCCGGCCCCGTCGCCTCACCCAAGTGCTGCGCACACTCCTGTTCCTGGGTCCCGTCTGCATCTGCCGCCCGTCCCGCCCGTGGCGGGAGTTGAATTTGTGGCTGCGGGAGGCGTAGCGATGAGGGCGGGTGGTTCGGCCCCTCTTGCCGTCGAGGAGCCATTTCAGTTTCTCGCTCAGGCGCTTCAGCCCCCACAGGCTCGTGTTGCAGAGGCGACACTCGCCCAGCTCTTCCGCCTCGCGGAGAGCTTCCACGCTCTGCTCCTGATACAAGTTCTTGCTCATTCATCTCTCCCTGCGGCCCCCCCTGAGACGTTCCTCGACCGTCATCGCGAGACATGCCTGGACGCAGCCGACCAGCTTGCATTGCTGCTGGCGCCAGTGCTGGCTGCGCCCGCTGAGGGAGGCGTTGCGGCGGCTGGGCCGCTTGACGAAGCTGTCCGCGGCCTGCGGCGCCATTTGCGTGCAGGCTCTGGAGCCGCCGCGATCGGCGCAAGCACGCTTGTGGTCCGGGAGCTTTGGCGGACTCTGACGGGCGTTCTTCACGCCCTTGGAGCTCACCGCATGTAGACGCGGGCTCTTCTAGCTCCGTTTCCATGTTGCTTGGCTAGACAGTAGTAGGTGCTGCCATGCTTGTAATGCCTTATTTTATAAACCGCTCAGTGTGCCGTCTCTTGCCGTCCTCGCGCGCGCGGCCGCAGGCCGCGCCGTCGAGCGTCGGCGCCGAAGGCGGCCGACGCGAGCGAAATTTTTCAGGCCCACAAATGAATAATGAGCCAAGGAGGCACTAGCAGCTACTTAAGTACCTAAGAGGACGAGGGCAGAGGCTAAGGGCAGAGGGCAGAGGCTAAGTCCTCTCTCTCTCTCTCTCGCTCTCTCGATTGAGCGAAATTTTTCAGGCCCACAAATGAATAATGAGCCAAGGAGGCACTAGCAGCTACTTAAGTACCTAAGAGGACGAGGGCAGAGGCTAAGGGCAGAGGGCAGAGGCTAACCCTCTCTCTCTCTCTCTCGCTCTCTCGATTGAGCGAAATTTTTCAGGCCCACAAATGAATAATGAGCCAAGGAGGCACTAGCAGCTACTTAAGTACCTAAGAGGAGAGAGGGAGAGGAGAAGGGCAGAGGGCAGAGGCTAAGTCCTCTCTCTCTCTCTCTCTCTCTCTCTCTCTATCTCTCTCTCTATCTCTCTCTCTCTCTCTCTCTCTCTCTCTCTTCTCTCTTCTTCTCTCTCTCTCTCTCTCTCTCTCTCTCTCTCTCTCTCTCTCTCTCTCTCTCTCTCTCTCTCTCTCTCTCTCTCTCTCTCTCTCTCTCTCTCTCTCTCTCGTTATTTTGTCCCTCTGTTCCCGTTCCTTATTTTCATTTTATGCATTGGTACGTTCTTCTTCTTGCTCTTTGCCAGGTCTAACCATTCAATGCTCACGACGTTTTTCTTTGTCCTTGTATTGTTTCATTCGTTTCTTCGTTATTCCTGTTTCTCTTCATTTCATCACACCTCATACCTTTTTCTGTTTTGTTTGTTGTAACGGGTATTTCTTTCCGTTCCTCATTTCCACTTCCTAAACCCATTTCTCAGGAGCCTTGCTGGTCAGGAAGACGATTTCAATCTGGAAAATGTGTATTGGTCACTATAATTTGACGTTGATTTGCTTGATATTTAGTATCGCGTGTTTTTTGGCTGGGTTTGCCAGAGCTCGTGTTTTTTATTGTGTAAATGTGTTTGTGTAAGTGCATTCATCTCATCTGTCATTGCAATATCAATGCATGTCTGTCAATTTTAAAAAGGGGGTTCATTTCTATCATTTCTCATTGGTTCATTGGCGCACTCAGTGACTCGTGTGTTTGCCACTTCGAACTGGATTTGATAGAGTGAACCTCTTTTTTAGAGTTAACAGATTGTATTGTTTCATGTGCTAGTTGATTATTCAAAGACTTTGCTATTGACTTCCCCCCCATGCTAGGCAGGGGATGCGGTAGCCTAGTTTTTGGGTCGTTAACTATCACGCATTTGTATGATATACAGGTGTGGTGCATTTGTGCGTATCATATGCATACAAAAGCATTTTCATGCATGTATCGGTATTAGGTATGCATCTATATATCATGTCTCATCATTACATCCATTTAAGCATGCGTGGCGTGTAATTCATTACTAGTATTCATAACATTTATTACATGCAATTATCACAACAACATCAAACAGTAAAAGGTATAATACAAACAGTATAGCATTTATGCGCAAAACTACTACAAAGATAGCTACCAATATTCAAAACTGTTCAGCATGCACAATGGGAAGGGTAGTACTGTAGCTGACGAAATTTGTTTTCATGTTTTAATAAAAAAATGACATGAAAAAAAAAAAACTGTCAAAATCGATCGTAAAGGGTTGCTTCGCAACCCAAAAAAAACGGTCCTACGGATCTACTGCTCTGAAACCATATTGAGAATGCTAGGTAGGAATGGATGCTAAAGGGGTTGTACCCCATATTGGCTACTCCACTACAGCCTACACAAATATAGCATGCATATAGTTTGACATTTATGTGTTGTTGCATGTTGTAATTTTGATATGGTAAATCATTTGAAGTAATGAGAATGCTTGAACTCAATTCGTACCGTATCGAAAATGGTATGGTGTGACTGATGTTATCAACGCGATTTGATGCGCTGCATATGTTTTGACGTGTACACACTTCTAGGCTAACATGCAAGCATGTCAAGCCTTTTCAGTCAAACAAGGATGACGCTCGTGGAAGAAAGAAAAAACTGAGCATGGAATGGAATCATGTGGATGTAGGATGTTGGCATGTGGCATGTAGCAACATGTACCGTACCGTAGCAGCATACGTTGGCATGGTCACATGTTGCACCGGCGCATGTGGCATGGCAGCATGTTCAATGGGCACAGACATGTAGCAGATGGTATGATGGCAGCAGAATGTGGAATTGGGAGCATGTGCCATGGCAGCATGGTGCATGTCAGGATGTTCTGAAGCAGCTGGTGGCATAGCGACATGTGACACAGTGGCAAGTGACATTGTGGCAAGTGACATTGTGGCATGTGGCTTGGAGGCAACTTGTAGCATGGCAGAACATCAAGCTACGTGGCCAGGCTTGGCAAGCTCTTGGAGGGCCTTGACACACTACCAGGGGCCCCCGGATAGAAGCGCCCCTGGGGGTATAAAAAAACACTGTTTTTTAGGGGGTGCGCTTATAATTGAGGAATTTTATAAGAGCCGGCGCTTATAAAATGGCAAAGCAAGTTTATATTTGTTTTACACCAATCTGTACACCTTGTTCTGCCAATTGTAATCGAGTCGAATATATCTGGGGTCGCGAATCTGATTCTCGCGCAACTTACGGTAGCAGGGATGTATTCCCTGCCAACACATGCTGACTAAGCGACAGCAAGTGCTGACTAGACGCGCAGCAAGTGTGATGTGAGTGGGAAAGTGGACCTGTACTTCGATTCCCTGGTAAAGAGAAATTCGTTTCTGCGTTTCGACTGATTTTCAGATTAAAAAATAGACATGCGCTTATAATAAATCAGAATTTTTTAAGGGGTGCGCTTATAATCGAGGACCGGATATAAGCGCCCTCATCCTTTTATAAGCGCCGGCGCTTATCCGAGGCCTGCGCTTCTATCCGGGGGCTTACGGGTACTCCAAAAATCAGAGTACGCTAGGTAGAAGAAAGTAAATTTACTACTTATACAGAAGCATCTACACTGACAGGCATATTACTTGTGAGAAAATATTTAATGGAAGCCAGAGAAAATATGTCACTTGTGAGCATTCAGATCATCACATTTCGGCCCCGTCTCAATCTTATCGATCCGAGCTCGAAGCCGCCCTGCCAGCTCATCATTTGGACCACCGCTCTCTATCCTGCTCGACCACGTCGAACCCATTGCGCTGCCGGCCCCATCCACAGCCAGCTTCCCACTGCTACCACCCTTGAACACAGCTGCAGACCCCGACCCAGTAGCACCACTCCGTCCGTCCCTCGCCACTTGCCCCCGCGGGCTGATAACACCACACGCTCCTCCCGCACCTCCATTATGACCCACACCACCAGGAGACAGCAAGGGCGCCCCATCCACCGCGGCACCGTGCATGGCGCCTGCGGCTGAGGGAAACGACTCGATGCGGTCCAGGCGAGCCTGCAGCACCCCTGTGAGCTCTGCATCCGGCCCGTCTTCCCTCAGCTCCAGCGCTGCTGCTGCCGCCGCTCGGTTGCTGGCTGCTGCGGCAATGGCGGGGAGGGTCATGCGCTGCAGCACGGCGAAGTCGAGCGCCTCCCACACCTCGTCCACCACGCCCTCCGTGCCCGACGCTGCTGCTCGCTGCGCTGCTATGCGCCGTGCGTTCAGCTGCGCCTCGTTGGTCAGTAGCTGATGCACTGCCGTCTGTAACTCGTGCTCGTCCGCCACCTGGCGGACCGGGATTGGTTCCCATGCATAAGGTGAAAAAAAAAAAAAACATAAAACCCTCGGTCGCATAACTGAATGCTCCACCAAAAAACGCTGTCTACCTTCTCACACTCACTCCGCCATAACAAACAAACACACAGAGGGGCGGCATACCTGCCACACAGAGAGGGGCGCCACTTGCTGCAGCTGCTGCAGCACAGAGGCGAAGTGACCCAGGTGGGGGCCTGAGGACATTGTGGGGTGAGGGAGAGAGAGGGGGATGACGTCCGTTGATTTAAACGAGGCTGCAGCACTGCAGAGGAAACAGAGCTGGGAGGGACCAACATGCGCACCCAGATGTGGAACTCAACTGGAACATCTGGGTGCTCATGAGTACCAGATGTGACCACGACAAGTGTAGATTAATGTCCAACAGTGTCACCAGAAAGTCAACAAGCAACATGAGCGTTAGGCAACATGATATAAGAAATTACAATTTAGCACGATATAGAAACGTAGCACGTAAAATAATTTCTTAGTACAGCTGCAGCACATCATACAGCTGCAGCACATCATACAGCTGCAGCGAAAGAACCCACCAGTGAGGACGGCACAGGAGGAGACGGCAGGCTCAGCGATGTTGTGGCCGCCCAGACCGGGCAGCAGGGATCCCCCCACGAAGGCAAGTGGGATGATGGAGTAGAGCAGCGTCAACTCGCCTGCTCACATGCACACATGCAAGAAGATGTATGCACACACAAGGGTGTGTGGGGGAAGATGCAAGAAGATGTATGGTGTAGAGTGTGGTGAATATGCAGGCAGTGATTAAGTGCATCCTTCCCAGATATTACAGCATGAACAACAAACCTGGTGCTCCACGAAGGGCAGATGCTTCAAATGAGTGTCACGGTACTAGCCACATACCCCAATGGCATCACCACACAGCAATCGCAACAGCACACATACCGTTGGTGTCAGCACATACCCCAATGTTATCCCCACGCACCAATGGTGTCAGCAATATAGAAGTCAGTGTCGCTGGTCACGGCCTGCCCCTGGGAGCGCACAGCCACTCTCACCGGCTTGGCCCGCGCCTCCTCTGCTGTCATCCCCGGCTGCAGTGGTGGCGGGTGGTGCAGCTGCGATGCCAGAAACTGGGGAAGGGACAGAGGCGGGAAGGAGACGGGGAAAGGAGGGGGTGCAACAGGGGCGGGTGGATATAGGAGGTTGCAAGCACCAGGAGCTATCACTGCCTTGTGCTTGAGAAACGCTGCTGTCATTTTCCACTGCAGATGGTGGGAGAAGAGAAGAAGACCAATGGCGGGTTGGGGTGAGGAGGTGAGCGGGTGAGCAGAAAAGAATGAAGCAGCAGGAGGAGAGTGCAGAGGGTGTGGAGAGGAGGGCGGAGAGTGTGGATTAGAAGGAGGGTATAAAGAATGGCAGACAAGCTGCTTATGAGGGGCCATTCGCTCTTTTCATGAACACACCTTCATGAAAAGACCGAATGGCCCCTCCTTACCTTGCCAATGGCCGCCCCTCTGCCCGGGTCGCGCGGCACGATGATGGTGAGCAGCCCCGCCACTCGGTGCTTCAGATTGCGATGCACACGCAGGATGGCTGGGGGGGAAATGGGCAGGGGGAAAATGGGCGGGGGGGAAATGGGCGGGGGGCAGTGGGAACCATGAGGGAAATGGAGCTGATGATAGGGGAGAGGGGAAGAGTGAGCCCTTGGGGAATGAAAAGGAAAATCCATGAGCGGAAGAAGGGTGGGGTTAGGAGATAGATCTGAGGGAAAGAAGAGGTTCAAAGGGGCACACGTTCACCCCGCCCCGCCTCCGCCGCTCTCTGGCGTTTGAGATGTCTCAACGCACCCCGCTCTCACCTTCCTCCTCGCCCGCGTGTGTGCTGGCAGCCAGCCACACCCGCCGCCCTCGCACCACACGCCTCACCTCCTCCTCCTTCTCTCCCCTCGCCCTCGCCCCTCCTCTTGCACCCCCGCTCTCCGCCTCCCCCTCCCTGCTGCTCCTGCTGCTGCTGTGGCTGCTCATGGTCGCTGCAAGGGGTGGAGAGCGGTTCAGCACGGTTTTAAATAGCATAGGAGAGCATGCTCGAGCTTAGAGGCAGGCAATGCTATGCAGGTGCGCTGTGTTGGCATGGCTCTGCTGCTGCTAGTGGCAGAGGGGGCATGGAATGGAAAGGAGAGAGCTGTGTCGCAGGAATAATGTGCTTTGAGATCAGGAAAGAATACTCATGGCTTGCCACGGCTTGTGCAAACGAAGAGGAAGAGCAAGAGCAGGGTGATGGATTGCAAAATGCTGCTGAGCGAACACAGGAGAGGATGGAGAGAGAAAAGGGTGGGAGCGAGTGGCAAGAAACCCCACCGCCATATTCCCGTGCGTACACGCATGCATGCAACCATTCAACAGCACCTCACACAACCACTCCTGCAAACGACCGCACCCGGCAAGACCCAGCAGCAGCAGCATTGCAGCATGGCAGCAGCAGCAGTGCATGAGAAGCATTGAAGCAGCCTGGGCCCTGGCAGCCTGGCACGTACCGAACTTGAGGTTGCCGGTGTAGCGTGTGAGCATGGGGTTGGCACCCAGCCGCTGATACCGCAGCCCCTGCTCCGTGCTCTGCACGCACGCGCCCAGGGGCGGAGAGGAGGAGGAAAGGGCGGGAAAGGAGGGAGATGGCAACAGAAGTGGATTGAAGAAGCGAGGGCGGGTGAAACAGCAGATGCGAGGCATGGAGGCGGGAAAGCAGGACGATATGGGGATGTGCGGTGACAAGGCATGGGCATGAAGCAAGGACGTGAGGTGCGTACGAGTGGAAGGCAGGAGGGGCACACGATGCTTGCACCCACACATGAGGGGACACTTATGTCAATGCTTAAGGCACATGAAATGCCGCTTATATCAATGCCCAAGGGTCGTACGTGTCGACTCCCAGGTGCGTACAGTGGTGGTGATGAGGGCGAAGCGACCAATCATAGCGGAGACGAGAGGGAGGAAGAGCCCATCCATGGCATGCCACCTGTCAAACGTTGATTGGGTCATGCGCGCGTTGAGCAACGCAATGGGCACCTGCATGTGATGGCGGCAAGGCAAGGGCCAGCGGCACAAGGGGACACACAGGGACAGGAAAACTGCTGATGGGGGCTGTCGGTGCACAACGGCCCTCCAGTGACATGCCCCAACGATTGAGAGGAGCGGCAGGTTTTCCAACTTGTGCAACGGCTGCTGCTGCTGCTGCTGCTGCTGCTGCCCTCAATTGACAGTTGGAGCAGAGCAGGAGCGAGGGAGGGCGTACTTTGAGCAGCGAGGGCGAGAGCAGGAGGTTGGGCCAGAGCTCTTGCTCCATGAACACTGCCGCGTTGGGCTGCCAGTGCGCGAGGAATCGCTCCACCGCTGCTGGCGCGTCCACTGGCGCTAGCTGCTCGCCGGGGGGGGCAGAGCAAGCATGAGCGGGGCGGGGAGAGGGGGAGGGGCGAGGGGGAAGGCGAGGGGGAGGGGCGAGGGGGAGGCGCGAGGAGGAGGAGCGATGAGGAGGGGCGAGGGATGGGAGTAGAAGAATGGAAGAGGGGGACAATGAGAGGCGAGGCAGAAGGAGATGCGTTGTGAGTATGACTGGTGTACAGCATAAGAAGGGTGTTGCAGCAGATATGCATGGCATGTGCTTTTCAACCTCCTGCATGCCTGGCATGTGGCACACGTGGTGTGGTGTGGCACACGTGGCATGTGGCACACGTGGCATGTGGCGTACGTGGCACGCGGCACATGTGATGTGGCATGGGACACATCTGACTCGTGGCACACCTGGCATATGACATGCGTCTTGGAAAAGGCTTTAGAGACAACGGACCTGCCGTGTGGTTGAGGGGAGGAGTAGCAGGGGAGGGGCGCAGGGGAGGGGAGCAGGGAGGGGCGACGGGAGATGAAAACAGGATTTGGTCGAGTGGGGGAGGAGCAAGAGTGTTAGAGGATCAGACACGAGGAGCAGTCATACGGGCACACGAGGAGCAGTCATACGGGCACACGAGGAGCAGTCATACGGGCACACGAGGAGCAGTCATACGGGCACACGAGGAGCAGTCATACGGGCACACGAGGAGCAGTCATACGGGCACACGAGGAGCAGTCATACGGGCACACGAGGAGCAGTCATACGGGCACACGAGGAGCAGTCATACGGGCACACGAGGAGCAGTCATACGGGCACACGAGGAGCAGTCATACGGGCACACGAGGAGCAGTCATACGGGCACACGAGGAGCAGTCATACGGGCACACGAGGAGCAGTCATACGGGCACACGAGGAGCAGTCATACGGGCACACGAGGAGCAGTCATACGGGCACACGAGGAGCAGTCATACGGGCACACGAGGAGCAGTCATACGGGCACACGAGGAGCAGTCATACGGGCGCACGAGGAGCAGTCATACGGGCACACGAGGAGCAGTCATACGGGCACACGAGGAGCAGTCATACGGGCACACGAGGAGCAGTCATACGGGCACACGAGGAGCAGTCATACGGGCACACGAGGAGCAGTCATACGGGCACACGAGGAGCAGTCATACGGGCACACGAGGAGCAGTCATACGGGCACACGAGGAGCAGTCATACGGGCACACGAGGAGCAGTCATACGGGCACACGAGGAGCAGTCATACGGGCACACGAGGAGCAGTCATACGGGCACACGAGGAGCAGTCATACGGGCACACGAGGAGCAGTCATACGGGCACACGAGGAGCAGTCATACGGGCACACGAGGAGCAGTCATACGGGCACACGAGGAGCAGTCATACGGGCACACGAGGAGCAGTCATACGGGCACACGAGGAGCAGTCATACGGGCACACGAGGAGCAGTCATACGGGCACACGAGGAGCAGTCATACGGGCACACGAGGAGCAGTCATACGGGCACACGAGGAGCAGTCATACGGGCACACGAGGAGCAGTCATACGGGCACACGAGGAGCAGTCATACGGGCACACGAGGAGCAGTCATACGGGCACACGAGGAGCAGTCATACGGGCACACGAGGAGCAGTCATACGGGCACACGAGGAGCAGTCATACGGGCACACGAGGAGCAGTCATACGGGCACACGAGGAGCAGTCATACGGGCACACGAGGAGCAGTCATACGGGCACACGAGGAGCAGTCATACGGGCACACGAGGAGCAGTCATACGGGCACACGAGGAGCAGTCATACGGGCACACGAGGAGCAGTCATACGGGCACACGAGGAGCAGTCATACGGGCACACGAGGAGCAGTCATACGGGCACACGAGGAGCAGTCATACGGGCACACGAGGAGCAGTCATACGGGCACACGAGGAGCAGTCATACGGGCACACGAGGAGCAGTCATACGGGCACACGAGGAGCAGTCATAAGGGCACACGAGGAGCAGTCATACGGGCACACGAGGAGCAGTCATACGGGCACACGAGGAGCAGTCATACGGGCACACGAGGAGCAGTCATACGGGCACACGAGGAGCAGTCATACGGGCACACGAGGAGCAGTCATACGGGCACACGAGGAGCAGTCATACGGGCACACGAGGAGCAGTCATACGGGCACACGAGGAGCAGTCATACGGGCACACGAGGAGCAGTCATACGGGCACACGAGGAGCAGTCATACGGGCACACGAGGAGCAGTCATACGGGCACACGAGGAGCAGTCATACGGGCACACGAGGAGCAGTCATACGGGCACACGAGGAGCAGTCATACGGGCACACGAGGAGCAGTCATACGGGCACACGAGGAGCAGTCATACGGGCACACGAGGAGCAGTCATACGGGCACACGAGGAGCAGTCATACGGGCACACGAGGAGCAGTCATACGGGCACACGAGGAGCAGTCATACGGGCACACGAGGAGCAGTCATACGGGCACACGAGGAAACGCGAGAGAGGGGAAGAGGGGGGAGGAGGGTGGGGTGGGGGTGGGGGCGAGGGCGAGGGCGAGGGGGACGGGGAGGGCTAGCAGCACATACAGTGCGAGGGCGTTGCGGGTGGTGAAGAGCACTTTGACGCGCGGCCGCTGCTGCATGCACTTGCGCACCAGCGGAATCGCGATCGCGCTCTCGCCTGTGAGGGGGAGCGGTGGGGGTAGTGCGCGGGGGAATGGCGGGCGGGGCATAAGAGGTTGAGAGAAGCGGGTGGGAGGGGCAGGAAGGCACTGCGAAAGGGCGAGCGAGGACAAGGCAGCCCGAGAAGGGGAACGAGAACGCGTCGAGTCGAGTCGTAGGTTCAGGTTCATTGTATAAGAAACTGGTTTAGGAGCGGTCTGCGGTCTACTAGGAGCCTACCCACAGAAACAGCGTGGAACCATAACAGCGGCCCATCCGGTCGCTTCGCTGAAGGTACGCCCAGTTGTTCCCGCCACCTGCTCCCCGCGCCGTCCAATCCCAGCAAGGCGCGCTGCCACAGGCCCATCGCCACCAATGGCGACGCGACGCCCGTTGCTGCTCTGTACGCGCCTTGAATCACGGCGCCTACAGTGGCGTCCGCCATTGCGAGTCTCGACGCGTGCAGGCGGGCGAAAAGAAATCTGTAATCGCGCGCTACTGCAGACGAACGGGACGGCGAGACGGTGAGGGCAGGGAATGAGAGCAGTCAGGGTAATTCCTTTAGTGGCGGTTGCCGTGGTAGTGACGGGAACCTGATCATGTAGAGGAGCAAAAATAAAGCCTCGAGAATTCTGTGACACTGATAAATAGTAGCATGTGAGATTCATTATTTTACTGTTTGGCGTATACACCAGATACAAACTCTACTAGAACTGGATGCGTAGTTTGGGTGATTTCAGTGGTGCCTTGCAACATAATCATTTCCTGAACGAGGTTAAATGAAAGTAAAGAAGCTATTACACTGTTACGATATGGAATTTAATGAGAAGGCATTCCTGTATGCTACCGAGTACGAAGTCGAGGCGTTAGAAAAGTCGAAGCGACACCAGCAACCGTCAGATCAATGTTGGAAACAATTGATTTAACGCGCTTCTGTCGTGTCGAAACACCAAGTTAGAAGCGAAGCGAAACATAACGAAACACCGGCGAGTCAACCCTCGGAGGTTGAAAGTAACTGTTGGAGGTTGCTACGATCAGAGAATGATCGCTTACCAGGATCTACTCGGGAAGGTTCGCACACAGGGAAATGTAGTTGGTGGGCCCGTGACCTCAATAGCAGAGTGAATGTAAAATGCTTGAGATAATTAAAACATGCAAATACAGCAAGTATAAATATGAGTACAGGGAAGACGAAACGACCTAGCTAGCCATGTACTCTAAGGGGTACATTCCCTTATTCAAACGCATTCTCAACCGTGCGGCGCGTACAGTTTCGTAACTGTTCCCGCCGAAACCATCCTGCCTGCAGCTGTCCGATGCCGTCTGCTTCCGACGGTCCAGATGCGCCCCAACTGTCTGACACTTCGAGTCAAACTCCAACCGTCTGACGGTTCGCTTTCTTGCTTCGATACTGCGTGCTTCTCTTTGCTGCGGTGAGGAGTGCTCAGTAACAATTAAATGTTACTATTCGTAACACCCCCCTACTTCTGGCCGTAGCTCGATTTGACCTGCTTGACCACGCCGCTGAGTTCGGAGCAGTGCTGATACTGCTGGCGTGGCAGTCGCTTCGTGAGGAAGTCCGCTGCCATGTCACCGGTCGGGCAATAGGTCAAGTTGACCTTGCCCTTGTCCACTTCGTCCTTCACGAAGAAATATCGCAGCGCAATGTGCTTGGTGCGATTGACGAAACCAGGTTTGTTCGCGATGCGAATCGCGCTCTGGTTGTCGCAGTGAAGTCGAAAGGTTGGCGAAGCTGGAATTTTCGCCTCCTGCAGGAGTTCCTGTAGGTAGAGGCCTTCGCGAACTGCTGCGGTTGCTGCGATGAATTCTGCTTCGGCTGACGACAGGGCAACCAGCTCCTGCTTCTGTGAGTTCCAGGAGATTGGCCCCGTTGGTTCGAGTCGGAACAGGAAGCCGGTCCTGGACCGTCGATTGTCGGGATCTGCTGCATGATCGGCATCCACATAGCCGACGAGATTGAAGGATGGGGTTGGTGCAGTTGAGTAGCACAGCCCAATCTTGGGCGTTGAAACGAAAAATTGCAAAGCGCGCTGCAGGTCCAGGTGATTTTCAGCCGTTGGTTTCCGTGAGTACTGGGCAAGCTGACTTGCGATGTAGGAGAGGTCTGGCCTGCAGGTGACAGAGGCGAAGAGGAGGCATCCCAGCTGCTGCTGGTAAGTCTGAATTCCAGCAGGGGATAGGGCTTTGTTGTCAGGTTTGTGGTTCGGTCCGGGGGTTCGGTAGGGAGTCGAGAGAGGTGCGGGTGAAATCTTGAACCGCTTCCCTAACTCCTCTGCGTACTTAGCTGCTGACAGATGAATGGCTTCAGGCGCGTAGGAGATGTTGAGGCCTAGGAACTGCTTCACCTCGTAGTTGCACGTAATGTCGACGCGCCCCGCCAAAGCCTTCTCGAACTGTTCGAGCAGCTCGTTGTTTGAGCCCGTGTAGAGCAAGTCGTCGACGTAGACCGTGAGGAGGATGTATTCCCCGCGGAAATCGCGGCGGTACATCCCTAGGTCGTGGGGCATCTGCTTGAACCCGATTTCAAGCAGGATGTTGTGCAAGTACTGCTGCCACAGCCTCGGAGCCTGCTTGATGCCGTACAGTGACTTGCGCAGCTGACATACGCGCGAGTCACCTTCGCCATAGGTGTGTGGCTGCTCCACGTAAATCACAGCGTCCACTAACGCGTATAGGAACGCGTTTTTAACATCGATCTGGCGGAGTGGTAGGTGCCTTGCAGCTGCGATAGCGAGCAAGATGCGGACGGAGGTGTGGCGACTGACGGGGGCGAATGTCTGGTCGAAATCGATCCCATGGTGTGAAGTCCGAGCAGTTGTAGTCCTGAGACGGTACTGTCGTGGTGACGCTGCGGGACGACTTCCTGCACGTCATCATCGTCGCTCTCAGGTTCAGGTGGTGCTGATGGTGTTGCGCCTCCGCCGCTTCCGCCCGTTCCGCCTATTCCTCCTCCTGAGGAATCATCGTCGTTGTCGCTGCTGCGCCGATCTTCCCAAGTGAATTCGGCCCTGGTGTCCTGCTCTAGAAGTGCTGCAGCGGCTTCGTCTTCGGGCGTTGCGTAGCTGTGGCCGTTGTTCGCGTAAACGCGATCTGCATTCCTCTGCTCGTCGTCGCGGAACTGGTCGAGGAAGAGACGCTCGTAGAAAATTACGTCGCGAGCGTGAGTGGTTTTTTTTTAGTGAGGAGGTCCAGCACGATCCATGCCTTGTACTCGTGACTGATGCCGAGGTGGATCCCCCAACGCGCGCGGCTGGCGAACTTGCCGATGGTTGAGGTCGGTGGGCGGTATTGGACCATACACCCCCATACGCGCAGCATCGATGTGTCCCCCTTTGTCCCAGTCCACTTGACGTGCGGGGACAGGTTACCAGTAATTGCGGTGGTTGAAAGCAGGTTGTGCACCCGTACAGCGTGGTGCATTGCGTAGGTCCAGTAGATCGGCGGCAGCTTCGACTGCTTCATCAGCGCCCGCACCTTCGTCATCAGTGTGCGATTCGTTCGCTCCGCTACGCCTTGCTGCTGATGTGCGTAGGGGAGAGAGATGTGATGCTCGATCCCCTTTTGCGCCAGGTAAGTTTGCATCTGGTTGCTCCTGAACTCTGCTGCGCCGTCAGATTGCCAGATCTTTAGCTTCTTTCCAGATTGCCGCTCCGCATGCGCTAGCCAGAGCCGAAACACCTCGTAGGCTCTGTCGCGCGTCTCCACGTTCACGACCCACACGTAGCGTGTTCCAGCGTCAATGAAGGTAAGAGTGTATAGCTCGTCCTCGACTCCGCAATGCCCTACGTTCAGGAAATCGCTGTACACCTTGTGCAGTTTGGGGTAGCGGTTCGTCCCAGGTTCGAGCAGCGGGAACGGTTGGTGGCTCAGCGCAGCTTCGGGGCAGACTGTGCAATTGCGCGGATGCGTTGCGCCTCTCACTTCGGAGCCATCAGGGCGCAGGAGTGCGCCAGGAGCGAAGACACCTGCGTCGATACAATTTTTCAGCGTTGCGCGAGAAGGATGTCCGAGGCGCTGGTGCCAGAGTGCATCATCAGCGCGAAAGCCGGAGGTGCGCATATAGCGCGCGCGTGCTTCCTCAGGGTCTTCGTCGGGTACAGGAGCAGGTTCCGCTGCTTCTTCTTCTTCTGTCGCGGTGGTGAGCATCAGCGCCAGGAATTCTCTGTCACGAATTTCAGAGAGCGGGATGTTGGTCCCAGGGATGGTTCCAGGGACGAGGGTTGGTTCGCGTGGTTCGGGAGCCGGTCCGTAAGCGGTGCGACGCGGGGTTGACGGCTCGTTGCCCCAGGCGATGGTGTCCCATGGATCGCGGCGCGGTGGGTTATCAGGAGGAGGTAACGCGAGTGGGACATGGCGTGGGGGACGACCGAGGGGAACAACTGCAGACTCTCCAGCTTCTTCTTCTCCCCCCCTTTGGTCTTCGCGGGAAGTCCCCCAGCCTCTAGTAGGGGTGCCCCAGCCACTCGTGTCGGCGCCAGATGCGGCGCCCCATCCGCCGGTTGCGGTTGCCCAGGTTCCGCCGGTGTTGCCCCAGTCGCCAGCCTCAGCCGTTCGCCGTCCGCCGACGCTTCCCCACCCCCCTTCATTGGTGGCGCTTTCTTCAGCTTCGGCGCCCCATGCGGCGCAAGCGAACGTTCCGCGTGCCTCGGTGAGGCTTTGTTGGCGAAGCTCCTCGGCTTCGCGGCGCGCCAGTTCTTCCTCCTGTTCCACGGTGAGTTTTGCCGTGGGGTCGCGCCAATGTGGGTAAATCTGCAGAAAATCCTCGCTGGTGTAGGGGCGTGGCACGCCACGCGCATCGAAGGTGCCGACACCAGTTCCACGAAGCATCCCTCGAAGATGTTGAGAAGGGGGACCTGTGAGGGGGTGCTCAGGCGTGCCGAACACGTTATGCGTGGTGACTTCGAGTTCGAGCTGCGACATCCCTTCCTCGGGGGGCGCGTTGCGCTCTGCTTCCGCGATGGCGGCGAGTCCGCGGCCTGCAATCGCGCTTGTTGAGGTCGTCGGCGTGTGACAATCCCTGCAGATTCCATCTGGATCGGGGTTGTGAAGTGCCGTTTCGCGTGGGTGGGGATGATGCGGCACCCACGGCCTGCCGTTAGGCTGCTTCCAGTCCCTGCGGTGGATGTGTTCGAATCGCAGTGGCACGAGGTCAATCAGCTCGTGCGAGTCGCCGCTGCAGTCGGGAATATCGAAATCCAGGATGTACACTCCATTTTCGGAGTGTGCTCGTCCGATCTGCCTGCGGGGGAAGTTGCGCGCCTCGTAGTGCAGCAGAATGTCGCGCGTCGCGCGATCTGTGCTGAGTTCTACGCCGCAATCCATGAGCTGTGCGGCGGACAGGAGGTT